GGGTTTGGGGTTTAGGGTCGAGGGTTTAGGGTTTTTTGGGTTTGGGGTTTTGGGTTTAGGGCAGAGGAGGCAGTGCTGGCAGTCATCAAGTCCGGTTTCCAAAAGGGTTTAGGTTTTTGGGTTTTAGGGTTTAGGGTTTAGGGTTATTTGGGTTTGGGGTTTAGGGTTTTGGGGTTTAGGGGTTTAGGGGTGTAGGGGTTTAGGGTTTTGGGTTTAGGATTTGGGGTTTGGGTCTAGAGGCTGTGTAAAATACGGGTCTGAAGAATTAAATCAAGCGATCCCTTTGCCCCTTGTAACCATAGAAAAAAAAGCAGGCACAGCACACCTCAGAACCCAAAAGAAAAACCCCTAAACCCTAAACCGAGTAGCTTAGAGCCGAGAGGTTTGGGGCTTCAAGAATAGTCACTACCGGTCGGTCTGGTCGATGCCATACCCTTTGCAAGAAGCCGGGTTTAGGGGAATCCTAGAACCGGCTTTGCTTCAGAAAAGGACCACCGGAAAGAGGGCTGATACGACGAAACTTGAAACCCCGTATACAAGTGGGACTTTCCGAAAATTAGGGTACCTTAATTTGGGGTCCTTATAATAAGGATCCTACTATTTAGGGTACTGTGTTAGGGTCCCCTATTTTCGGAACCCCCCAAGTCTTCCAATTTCATGAAGCAACACACGAGCCTCTTCCCCGCCATATTCGGGGGGCAAGGAGCCGGCTGAGAGCCTTTTGGCGCTGCTGCAAGACGGTGACTCGGCAGCAAGAGTCGCAAAGCTTGTTATATATATATATATTTTTCCGGTGTATGTTGTGCTGCGCTTTTTCTTTGGCTTTGTTTGATGGTTTAAGTTTTAGGGTTCAGGGTTTCCATTGGTTTGTTCTTTGGACATTTGCTGTTTATGTCATGGGTTTGACGGTTTTGAGTTTAGGGTTTCGGGTGTTAAGATTGGGGAGGGTTCTAGGTGTTGGGTTGTGCTGGACTGCCATGAAGACAACCTACACACTTCTACATGCTTGAAGGGTTCACCAGTCGTGTTTGTTTGCAACGCGGGTGAGTTTAAGGTTTTCAAGGTGTTGGGCTTAGGGTCGGGGTGTCTTCTTTTACTTAAACAAGGTTCAGACGAGTATTTCAATCACAACTGAGGGTACTCAACCACCCCCTTCCCCAATGAGAACCCACTTTCTAAGTCCCTTGACCCCTGAACTATTGCAAGCTGCCACACTTCCTGAGGAAATGATGTGGCGATCTGCCGCGATGGAGTGGATGCTCAGCCAACAACGCGACTTGGCATAGCATGCCTTCTTAAAACGCGTGCTTTATCTTACAAAGTATTCCTTTATTCCTTTCATAACATACTTCCCTCAACCCTATAAACCCTAAACCCTAAAACCCTATAAGCCCTGCACCCCATCCCTAAACCCTATAAACCCTACACCCCAACCCTAAACCCTATAAGCCCTACACCCCAACCCTATAAACCCTAAGCCCTCTAAGCCCTACACCCCAACCCTAAACCCTAAACCCTATAAGCCCTACACCCCAACCCCAAAGCCGTGTGTGCAGATACCGTTCCGTTCCCAGGTACGCGGAGCTTCGGCACCAGCTCGAGGCCGGTTTTTAGTCAGTGAACAAGGTTTTTAGGATCGGTTTAGGGTTTTAGGGTTTTATAGGGTTTATTATAGGGTTTAGGGTTTTATGGTTTAGGGTTTAGGGTTTAGGTTTTTTTTTTTCGGGTTTAGGGTTCAGGGTTTTTTTAGGGTTTAGGGTTTAGGTTTTTTTTTAGGGTTTAAGGTTTAGGGTTTTAGGGTTTCAGGGTTTTAAGTGAACAAGGTTGAGGATCCTGGGGTTTATAGGGGTTTAGGACCCTTAGGATGATTCAGGACTTTGGGGTTTAGGGTTTAGGATCTTGGGGTATTTATTGAGTTAGGGTTTAGGATGATCTAGGACTTTGGGGTTTAGAGTTACGGACCTTGGGGTTTTATAGGGTTTGGGGGGTTTTCGTAGGGTTTAGGGGAGCAGGATTCGGTGATTCGAGGTTTAGCAGGGTCGTTGGGGGTTTAGGGTTTAGGAGCTATAGACTTTGGATTTTGGGGTCCCCAGACTTGACCTCAAGGGCATCAATCGGATTCAAGATCAGATCATAATCTTCAAACTTCGTACTTCCGCTATAGTAGACTACAGACTATATGCTCAAGCCACCTAAGAGAAGCAGGTCAGGTCGCACATTATAGAATTATATAGAGTAGCAAATCCTAATCTCGAAACCCTGTGTGTCGTTTGCAGACCTTGCATGGACAGTTCCGGCCTGAAGCATCAAAAAGCCTTAAGCATCCCGCAAAGGCTGGTTGTTGAGGTCCCTAAACCTTAAACCCTAAACCCCTAAACCCCCCTGGAGCCTTGCCTGCCTGGTGCGAGTGTGAGAGTCGAAACCCTAAACCCTATAAACCCCTAAACCCTAAAGCGCTAAGAGCCGAGGTGTCCCCATATAGTAGGGGCCTGCTAGAAGTCCTGGGGTCCCCCACCACCAACTCGAAGAGGCTTCTTGTACCTGAGCTACGTGGGGGCATGGGTTACTTACAGCTCTTCCGTGCATTGCATTTCGGGGTATGTATTTGGAGGCCACAGGGCCGGTGAGTTTAGGGTTTTAGGGTTTTAGGGCTTATAGGGCTTAGGGTGTAGGGCCAGGATCAAAGCTTTGCGTCCTTCTTCCGCCGTGACGATCGCGTGGCCTTGGTGCTGGAGAATGGAGCCTTTGCTGCAAAACCTCCTCAGGGAGACGAGGGCCGAGTCGTCAAGGCTTAGGGTTCAGGGTTTTGGGT